TTAGACATCTACACTGACTTGGGTCCTTTTGGGTGTCTTTATGATATGAAATGAAGAGCCATTTCATGCCCCTTGTCCTTCAGTGTCCTGTACTCTTCTAGCCAGAAGTGAGTTTTAGGTTGTGAGACCTTGTGCCAAGGGAATAAGTCAGAGAACCTGAGATTGACAAAAGATACTGGAATCCTCTTCTGACCTCCACATGTGTATATGTGAGGTGCACACTTGCACACTTGCAGATACACAGACACATATTTTTAACTTTTTCCTCATTAGCTTTATTTATTTATGTTGGGGGGAGGGCACGGTGCTTGCTGTGGCATGCTTGTGGAGATCAGAGAACCTGCAGGAGTCAGTTCTCTACTTCCATCATGTGGGTTCTGGAGATCAAAGTTGGATTTCCAGGGTTAGCAGCAAACCCCCACTGAGTCATCTAACCAGCCCTGTAATTTAAAAAAATATATGTGTAAGTTTAAGATAAAGAATATCATACTTCACAAAACAACATGACAAATCTAAAGCTGCATTTGTGTGTGTGTGTGTGTGTGTGTGTTTGTGTGTGTGTGTGTGTGTGTGTGTGTGTGTGTGTGTGTGTGGTGCTGGAGAACAAACTCAGGGCCTCATGCATACTAGGCAAGAGCTCTACCACTGAGCTACACACCAGCCCTTGATGTTCTTTAACCCAGTAAGTGCTATTGAGAACAGGAAGCACTTGCTGTTTCCGTGTCACCTGAAATCCATCCACCCACGCTGTCGCTAGAGCTGATGTCTCTCCTGTAGGTTTGTGCCACTTTCTGGATATGTCTAGTCACTATTTCAATGTGCCGTTTACATGCTGATCATTAGCTTTCTACTGTAGCTCTTTTGCCTCCAGTTTTTAACACATAAAGGTTACAGAACAATTACCAAAAATCCATAATTACATTCTAAAAGAGGAGACATCAAAATTTGCATCCTATAAGCTGGCAGATTACCTAAAAAAAAACTTAAGACTATCACATTACTTGGTAACTGGTAGTAAAATGCAGTTAAAATTTCAAAAGTTTTTCACTCTGATCACACAGTGATGAGCAAATTTATCAAATGAATGAACTCTAAAATTACTCTCTTATGGACACTTTGGGGGGAAATAGAGAATTTTCCATCCATGTTATGATTTGTTTCATTACCTGCCACTGCAAGCTCCACCCTCTGGGGTCACATGAAGTGATATAAATGAGTTTCACTTGGGAGTTTACTAGAATCTATCTGCAGAAATATTTATTATACATTCAATTTTTCTGACCTTTAGTGCCTAAGGATTTTTCCACAGTGAATACAGGACATAACAAGAACAGCGTTTACCAACAACAGAGAATCATCAAGATGGAGCCCTAAGATGCTCAGATGTGCTCTTAGAGTACCATCTTTGGTACTGCTCTTCCATTCTTAGTCTGCTGGGGACACAAAAATATCCAAGGCAGATGGAAGGAGCGTTTAGGGCTTAACCAAACTGCAACCTTGCCTGAAGTGGCTACACTTTGCAGTGCTTTGTGTATGGCCACATAACGAGGGCCTGGTATGGGCTAAGGCCAAGTGGGTATCGGAAAACCTGATATGATTTTATGATATATAAAAGCGTATTCTCTGTGTGTATGCACATTGGTGTATGTGTGCATGTGTGTGTGCACTCATGCCTGCTCTTGTCATATATCTTCATTGAAACAGTAATGAAGTTAGTTAAGTAGATTTGTTGTTAAATTCTCAAATGCCAAAAGGATATATGTTGGAAAAAACACATTCTAAATTTTCAGATATCTTGTTATTCACAGATCTGTTATTATTGTTGTTTTTATTTTCGATTATTGTTGAATGACAAAAGATACTGGAATCCTCTTCTGACCTCCACATGTGTATATGTGGGGTGCACACTTGCACACTTGCAGATAACAAAGACACATATTTTAAACTTTTTCCTCATTAGCTTTATTTATTTATGTTGGAGGGAGGGCACGGTGCTTGCTGTGGCATGCTTGTGGAGATCAGAGAACCTGCATGTGTATGTGTGTGTCTGTGTGTGTGTGTGTGCGTGTGTGTGTCTATGCATGTAAATGCAGGCACCTTCAGAAGCCAGAGGCACTAGATACCCCATGATCTATAAGTCATCTTATGTAGTTGCTAGGAATTGAATTCAGAAATGCAGGCACCTTCAGAAGCCAGAGGCACTAGATTACCCCATGATCTATAAGTCATCTTATGTAGTTGCTAGGAATTGAATTCAGAGGATCAAAGTCGGATTTCCAGGGTTAGCAGCAAACCCCCACTGAGTCATCTAACTAGCCCTGTAATTTAAAAAAATATATGTGTAAGTTTAAGATAAAGAATATCATACTTCACAAAACAACATGACAAATCTAAAGCTGCATTTGTGTGTGTGTGTGTGTGTGTGTGTTTGTGTGTGTGTGTGTGTGTGTGTGTGTGTGTGTGTGTGTG